GTGCTGGTTGCGACTGGGAAGGCGGATTGGGTGAGGGATGTTGCGGATGAAGAGGGGAGTGTGATGGAGGCGATTGAGAAGGGGGGGCTGGTGCCTAGTAATGGGGTATGATCTCACTGCCACTGTTGCAGTTGTTTTTGTCCTGGCTGCGCGAAGCTAATCGGTGTGGGGTGGCTATGTCTAGAAACTGAAATTGTCCGCCTCCAATATGCCCGTCCCGGATGAATATCATCATCATGATGCGGGGAAACAGCCTACGACTGTGTTGCTTCTGCCCAGGTTTACTATCGTCGATCATGTCACGCCGCAGCTGGCGCCAGATTTGATTAAGTATTTTGTGAATCGCTCGCCGACGACTACTACCCCGTTGGTTGGTGGAAACAACAATGATGAGAGTGAACAACAAGAGCAGCCCTCAACTGAAGAACAACAACAACAGCAGCAGCAAGAAGAAGAACAAGAGAACATCGCCGACATCCAATCCCTCACCTCCCTCCGCTCCCGTCCCTCCCCTCACTCCGCCGTCATCCTGCTCTGCTCCCACCGCACTCGCGACGCCCGCTGCGGACAGTCCGCGCCGCTTCTCCGCAAGGAATTCGAGCGCCATTTGCGCCATCTAGGCTTGTATCGGGACATGGATGATGAGAGGCCTGGGGGTGTGGGAATCTACTTTATCAACCATGTGGGTGGACATAAGTATGCGGCCAACGTGATTATTTATCGCAGACGGGACTTTGAGTGGTATAAGAAGACGGAGGGGACTGAGGAGGAAGAGGGCGCGGCGCAGGGTATCTGGCTTGCGAGGGTGAGGCCCCAGGATTGTGAGAATATTGTGCGGTATACGGTGTTGCAGGGCAAGGTGGTTAAGCCTGGGGAGCAGTTGAGGGGTGGGTTTGATAGGGAGAGGGGGGTTACGAGTTGGTAAACTACCTTATCTCTTTTGTCGGGATATATTATTGGTATATAAGAAAATATGGTGAGAGAGAGAGAGAGAGAGAGAGAGAGAGAGAGAGAGGAGGGTTAGGTTTGTATAGGATTATCATAGAATGGGTATGGGTATGGGTATATACTAAGGAACCAATCAATGAAAATGCATGGAAATGAAACAGCTGCTTTAGTCACTGAACTGTCTCACTGTAATAATATCTTCCACTATAACCCGGCATTTGGCAGCTACTAATCCCTAAAAGAACCCCAGAGCAATTACACAGACCACATCATACACCCATTAAGCATAACCCTTTCCCATCCCCATCCCCATCCGACCCACGGAAAAGTACCCCATAATAGGTAGCTTTCAAAGCTTCCCCAAAAAGTCAAAAACAAGCTCTTCTCATTACCATCAACCTAGATTAAGTCAACCAGGTAAACGCCCCCAAGCTACCTAACTTACAACTACAGTGGTTTACTTGTCACACGTAAAGTAAGTAACTTAGTAACTAAGCTGCCATCTCGATTTAGTTTACAAACACGTACCTAGGTTGATTACGATCTTCTCCCCTCACCGACCAACCATATTTGTCCTCGCTAAGGCTTCCCGCATCGGGCTAAGATTGTCCCCCCAATACGAGTGCAATTGATCAGCAGCAAGCAGCAAGCAGCAGTAGCGTAGCCTCAGGCTATCTATCTATTACTTACTTATCCACTTCGCTAAGAGGTGGTTGGCGGCGGAGAATTAGTAACTCACTTAGTTCGTTGGTTAGTTAATTAGTTAACCACTGCAGTTAGTGCTTGGTTATGTAAGTAAGTATGTTATATACAATAGTAAGGGTTTTGGTATTGAAATACCAGCTGACTGTGTAATGGTACGTGACAGGTTTAATTCCTTTTCTGAGAGAGTAGTATCGATCTGTATACAAGTTACTTTGTTTTGAATGAGGTTGAAGTGAATTTGACTGCTGTGTGATGGTTACACAGGGGAAAGTTCGTGCCACAAAAATTTCAAGGAGACTATTTGCCTGTGAATTGTAAATAGAGCTGCCTGGCTGTTGATTTTGCTTCTGCTAAATGAAGAAGAATGTGATGATCATCATCATCTGTGTACGCTGTCGATAGACAATACGACAGATAGTATAGTCTGATTGATATGCACTGCAGCATCTATACCAGCACAGCATGGGACCATCAACTACCAGTGGAATATGGCATCTGCCACTCTTCTTCCTCCACATTCTGTAACTACCCCACCATCACTATATATCCCAGCTCAATTGACTAACTAACAACTTCCAGCCTCCTCCACACCGCAGGCCTATACCTCTTTACCAAAGGCTTCCTCCTCACACGCCAAACCCTCGAACTGAAAAGCAATTGCTCTCATCCTCCCATTCCTATCACCACCACCAACTCCACTACAACCTGCTGGACACCCCCCACCTTCACCAAAGCCATCATCCTTCTCATCGACGCCCTCCGCTACGACTTCACCATCCCCACCACCTTTACCAACAACAACAACAAAACATACCACAACGCCCTCACCACCCTCCACACCACAGCCCTCACCCACCCCCACAATGCCCTCCTCTACCCCTTCATCGCCGACCCACCCACCACCACCCTCCAGCGCCTGAAAGCCCTCACGACCGGCACACTACCCACATTCATCGAAGCCGGGTCCAACTTTGCCGGCTCAGCAGTCACAGAAGATAACCTGATATCGCAACTCCATGACGCAGGGAAACGTCTCGTCCTGTTGGGCGATGATACCTGGATGAAACTATTCCCGGGATACTTTGACCCCGCCCTGTCACGTCCATATGAATCATTTCTAGTGGAGGATTTACATACGGTTGATGATGGGGTGTACGAGCATTTGGTACCTTTGCTCAAAGGTAAAAATGAGGAAAAGGAGGAGTGGGACGTGATCATCGCCCATTTCCTGGGAGTTGATCACGTCGGACATCGGTTTGGACCGGGGCATGAGAGCATGAGGGATAGATTGGTTCAGATGGATGGGGTTATCAGGGAAGTTATGGGGAGTGTGGATGATGAGACGTTGCTGGTTGTTATGGGGGATCATGGGATGGATGAGAATGGGAATCATGGGGGTGAGGCGGCGGATGAGGTGAGAGCTGCGTTGTGGATGTATTCGAGTAGGGAGGTTTGGGGGGTTGTTGATGGTGATGATGGTGATGGTAATGTTACTGGTGTTGTGGGAAGGGATATGCCGCAGGTGGACTTCGTGAGCACGTTGGCGTTGTTGATGGGGGTGCCCGTGCCGTTTAGTAACTTGGGACGGCCGATTGAGGAGGCGTTTGTTGGGAGGGATGGAAGGGATTGGAGACGCTTGGTGGAGATTAATGCGTTGGTTGGGGCGCAGATTCAGAGGTTTACGATTGAGTATCAGAGGCATGGATGGGAGGGGGTGGTTGGGTGGGATAGATGGTTTGATGGTGAGGTGGATTTGGGGGATGAGGAGGCTTTGAGGGAGCATTATCAGAGGTTGAGGAGATATCAGGGTTGGATGCTAGAGGGGTATAAGCGTATGTGGGCTCATTTTAATCCGCTGAAGATGGTCGAGGGGCTGGTGGTTCTGTTGTTGAGTGTGGTGGTCTTGATATGTTCCCAGGTGAATGGGAGGTCTGGCTTGAGGAAATGGTCTGGGATGGGAGTGGGGATCCCGATGGGGATGGTTGCTGCGGCAAGTCATGTTGCTTTGGCTGACTTTGCTCAGGGTTCCCTCACGGATGGAGTGATTCTGGGCGCTGCCTTGGGCAGCGTCGTGTGGAATATGTGGCCGACTGGTTTGACTATCTTGCGCAGGTGCTTTCCCGGGGGAGTTTGGAGCTGGCAGGCTGTGATGTTCACTCTACTTCTCGGCATCGGATTTGCTTCGAATTCCTACACCATCTGGGAGGACCGAGTGGTCTTGATCTTTCTCTCGACATTCGGGCTATGCACTCTTGGCGCGTCAAACCATGCAAAAGGCGTACGTGAAGCGTCTTGCTCGACGATATTCATGCTTCTGAGTCGAGTCGTCTCGCTCAGTCGGGCTTGTCGCGAAGAGCAACTGCCATTCTGCAGAACATCATTCTATCGCCTGGAGAGCAGCTCGGTTTGGCAGCTATCGAGCCCGGTCATTACCGCCGTAGTTGTGTTATACATTACTCGACTAGCTCTGCGAGACCACGCGGCTGGAAACATATTCTGGTTCAGACTCGGCATACCAAGTGCGCTGCTGCTCACCTATGTCTTCAATGCACTAGAAACAGCAAGTAATAGCGGCTGGCTGGCAGGCTTTCTCACAGATGACACCTCCAAAACTCTGCGCATGACTGTTGCACGGATGGTGCTAGCCCTTGTCTTTATTGGGTTGGCAACTGCATTTACAACCACTCCAAGATATCGGCCACTCGAACGTCCATTCATCTTCACGACAGCAATGCTCCTTGCAGGCATTCTCTCAAGTACTCCAACAGGCGGGCTGTCCTTGGCAATCCTCTACTACCAACTCATCAGCCTCCGGTATCTCATCCCCAGTAACAGCTCCATCAAACCCACCATAGCAGCACTCCTCGGAACATTACACTTCTTCAGCACCGGTCACAACGCCACCTTATCCAGCATCCAATGGAAATCAGCCTACATTCCGTTCCGAGATACACAGTATCCATGGTCGCCACTACTAGTGATCGTCAATACTTTTGCCGCGCCAATCGTGGCAGCATGCGCCATGCCTCTTCTCCACACGGGAGAAAATCAGAGCCAAGCACGTTTCCTAGCCATTCATAGCACAATATACACTGTCTGGGCTGTTTTTGCGGCCTTGTGGGCGTGTATACTCCGCCGTCATCTGATGCTCTTTGCCATATACTGTCCGAGATTCCTGATGGCAGGGGCGTTGTTGGTCACTGTTGACGTTCTTGCTCTGGTTAATTCGGTACTACTGACTACTGAGTCTGGCTTACGCGTGGAAAAGAAGTGACATAAACAGCTCGATTTAGTTAAAGAAGGACAATAGCTTGCGTTGACGTCAACGGAACGAGCACAATATCATATCAATCACTGTGTCTTGAGACTACCCGACGATCAATCAGGTGCGTATAGAACAAGTCACTAGCAGTAGTGAGCCCAGCAAGCCTACATGTTGTTAGAAGGTTTGTTACTGATCCGACAAAGAAGTTGGAGTTACCCGGAAGCAACGTTCACCTCCGTGGTGACGGTTGCAGTTCTACACTTCGTTAGCTAACCTCCCTTATCAAGACCTTCTCGTCAAAGGGGGATAGAAAGGAAAGAAAGGGAAACACACATCCATGCACTGTCTATATCCTGGCCGACAACGCTGCGCATCAGCCAGACCAGGGTCCTCAGACACTGCAGCGTCGACATCATTGTCTGCCTCCGCAGCCGGAGCAGCGATAGCCAGGGCGGCGAAGAAGAGGGTAAGAGGGATGGTAAAACGCATTTCGTCACTGCTTCGGTTCGGATTGTAATGCTTGAGGAAAGTGGTAGTGATGCTGATGTCGATACCCAAGGGGACAGGAGATCTAGGTGCTTTTATGCTCGAGATTCAGGTCTCGAGTTGTCTTTGTCCTTGATGGATACATTCCGACGTGGTACAGGACATACTTCTATTGTCTAGATAAGTTGGCAGGTGAGCATCTAGACTTCGAGATGAGGCCGGTATATGGATAGGATGAGTGATGTGGGCTTGGTTGTGAGAGGAGAGTTGTAAGCTTACTGTCCGCTACTATTCTTTGGTGACTATCCGCTCGTGATATGCGATTAGATTGAAAGTGAACTGATATATACATACATCTACTATAGAAAATAATGCACGGCAAGTACAGCAGCAGTATATATACACTGCCCTACAAACCACTCACACCAGATATTCAGAGCAGGATACCCCAGACCGTTCAACGCTTCCACTTCAGCCTCGCTCTCGGACCAACGGCCCCTTATCAATCACCCTAATCGGAGAATATACAACACTCACACAAAGTAACACAGCCAGGTACTGAATACGACTCTTCCATGATCATGAGGAGCTTACCCCGTGGCGTGGGATTGCCACGACGTTTAGAGGGGGTTGTGGAACAGTAAGCTATCTATGTGTCTGTCGCATTGTGCCCTGCCGGTGATCCGATGGCATGCACTGGGTAGTTATGCTGTTGCTGTAGGTATAGGTATATGATGGATAGGTATGCACGTAGACAATATGTTAAGATGGCTACTACAGGGGTGTGTATAACTGCTTGATACCAAGAAGAGATAATTTATGAGTGATCAGGTGAGTCGATCATGAGACCAGCTGAACATAATGATCTTAATTCGAAACAATATTTGTATTGGATTGATTGATTGATGACAACTGACATCGACATCCTAGTACTTAGTTGACTGCTTGCTACCCTTATACCTCTACTCACAATTATCCCTACCCTACCACTACCCAGTAAGAATGACCTAGAATCTGATAGGTAGATATAATCCCTCACACAAGCACCTGAAACATACCACCATCCATCACCTTAAACAGCAGTACACTGACAACGAAGTACGGAGTACTTTCCAAATATGAGCACCCACGAAAAAGAAAAGAAAAGATACAGCACACACCCTACACCCATGTCAACCAACCCTAGTAGTCTACCCCATGCAAGGTACTTTTTGTCCCCATGTTCAGTGGAAATTCAACCCAACATATGACACGAATTGACTGATTGATTAATGGCGTGGTATCTTATAAGTCGGTATTATATGACAATCAATCAATCAATCAACTATGAACTAACTGTGTAGACTAAAGTAGGTATAAGGTATAAGTATTGTATGGTCGCTACGTGTACAATCTATCTATATCCTTGTTGATTGTGCTGCGCTACTCTGGGATTGGTTGGTTCGTGTATTAGGCCGGATGGATGTGTGTGTTTGAGTGGTGGTGGTGGCCTTGCCTCAATTTTGGTCTGTCTGTCTGTCTGTCTGTCTGTCTGTCTGTCTGTGGGTGGGTACTATGGGGTGACTGATAACTTTGGAGAAGACTGTGGGGTATATGCTAGTATGCTGGTACTTTTGATGAATGTATGAGGCTTTTATGGATGGTATTCTTATCTTATTCTACTTTCTTTCTTTCCACATGATTTTAGGCCCTATACTTTTGTATTTTACCACATCATATACCTAACGAGTAAGGTATAAACATTCATCCACTACCACAACCCCAACCCAACCCCAATCCATAAGCAAGGATGGTAGTGGTGGTGGTGGCTTGATTGCTTATGCCAGCCGTGTGAGTGGTATGGTGTGCCACCACCACCACCACCACCACCACCACTACCAGCATATGAACGATCCGATAATTCCCCGACAAGCTGCTACTACTTACTATCTTCCTGTTTGATCAACATCATGATTGGTAGATCGATAAGGAAAAGGCAATCTCATCACATCATCATCACATTTACTTGTATTCCTGTCGCCATTTATTTTACTTTCTTGGGCTGTCATCCTCATCATCCCATAGATAAGTAAAGTAGTGAGAGTGTAGTATCTATTTATATGTATATTACTATACATACAATACATTACAAATACGAGTAATGGGTAATATATCACGTATGTTATATTACATGTATGTATGTATGTATGTATCAACCATCTCATCTCATCTCATCTCATCCATGTCATTTCCAATCTCTAAGCGAGGTGCAGTAGCAGTGCAGCATGATATGACCAAAACCAATCAAAGCAAACCTAGACTTACTACCTATCCAGACTATCTTTATCTCTTCCTTCCAATGTTAAAGTAGAACAGTTAGGTAAGTCATACCCTACTGTTACACTCACTCACTAGTTACTAAGTATACTATAAGTTAGTTACTAGTATAATATTAGTAACCAGATAGGCGACGGATTAACGATCACAACAAAGAATGAGTTAAGTTCCGTCGGCAATCAGACTTATTTTGGGAAATGAGTTGAGTTGACACTTAAGTAGTTAGCAGAGTAGCTAACTCTAGACTTTGGATTTGGATTTCCGATTGTTCGATTAAGTGCTAGTAGCTAAGGAAGGATTGTGGAGCCGGCAGTCGTAAGACAATATACTATAACTTATCTACTTTAGCTTACTACATACAATCAATATGTTACTACTTACGGAGTAACTGAGAAATACACTACTCAAATAATTGAACTCATAGCATAGAGAGTAGCTATTATTGAATCCGATTATCCTCAGTTCATGTCATATTATCCTGTCATGTCAATTCTAATCCACAACAAATTGCCTACTAATTTATAATCATTTAACTACCTAATTGAATAAACTACGGAAACAATTGAATAACTAACGACAAGGCAACCCCCGCAGCCTTCCTTTCTATCTTCACTTTTTTTTTCCCCACAGCCCATCCATCTAGACTCTTTTCTTTCCCCTCTTGCGCATCATCCCCAACACGAGATCCATCATCTCACCCAGATGACACACGCAGGAATGAAAGTGGATTTTCAAATCTAACTAATTAAAACTAACCAAAGAGACGGGCGATCACAGCCCGTCTGTCCATCCATCTATCTATGTCAGACTCAGATCAGACCGAAACTTTCTTCTCTGTCACACGGAAATGATATCCATATTGACCGTGAATCATTTCATTCCTACTTTCTGCAGCAATTCCAACTTTCCAAGTTTTTCTTTTTCTTTCCATTCTAAACTGGATAGATAGATAGATAGATAGTAAATAATTATCGGACTAAATCCGATCAGGTACAAACATTCCGTCCATACAAACGGCATTGAACCAGAAAGGATGAATTTCTTAGCTTGAAGTTTGAACTTCAATCACAATCAATCACTTACTATCATCATCATCGTATATCTCCTCCTCCCCCTTTCTCCATTTCTGTCTTCCATCGCCATCCCATCCCCATCCCCATCCCCATCCTATGCTAACCAAACCCAGTTCTTGATCATCAAATCCGGGCACCCAGAACCTAGTTTAACTAACTGGCCAACTAACTAACTAATTAACTAACTAAATAATAAATCTAGTCTAGTCCAGTCTAGTCTAATACAGTACATACTTCCGCCCCCTCCCCGCCCCGGCTAGATTACTTACTAACTAGTAGTCTAGTCTAGTGCCAGTCACACTATACAACAACAACAAATACAAGGAACTAAACACACAGAAAACCAGTTTTTCTCTGTCTCTCTTGTTCCACACCCCCCTAAACTGCTTACTACTTACTACTAACTACACTACCCTAAACCAAGGTCTCGGATTCTTTATCCCCGAGAATATGATTGATTCAATTAATTAACTAACTTAAACCACTACTAAACTTACTACCCTTTGTTTCTTTTCGCGTCGGAGAGCTCCGTCCGGTTCTGCCCAGTGGATGGGCATCATATTCTATCATATCTTACCGATCGGGATCCGCTTTTCTTTCTTTCTTTCTTTCCTATTGTTCTGTTCTATGTCTGTCTGTCTGTCTGTCTGTCTGGAATCAGATACCACGACATAACAAAACTTACAAAGTTTGGTGGACGCGTAAGTACATAGCCAAAAGAAAAAAAAAAAAAGATTTACAAAGCCAAAAGATATCACAGCCATTCCTTTTCATGTGGTAAGAGAAAAGAAAAAAATATCCAAATTTGGCGCATGCATGTATGTACAGTCGATCGAAAAGCGACCAAACGCAAGTGCCAGGTCATCGAATCAATCGTAGTCTTTTGCTTTTCTCTCTCTCTCTCTTCCTTCTCTCATACACGCACTTCTCGCCCTAAACTACGGTAGACTTAGACTTAGACTATCTCATTCGGGCTATGGTGTGTGCGTGTATGTGTGTGGTCGTTCGGCCCACCTGCACCTTACCAAAAAATTCCCCCTCCTTCCTCTCTGCCTCCGTCCCTCCTTCTCGTGTATTCCTTCCCATACACACACCCCCCAGACCAAACCAAACCATATGGGTGGGCGGCTGGATGGGGTCGATCAGGCGCTACGACAGTCGTGGGTTAAACTAGATAGACTTCAACCCCATGACTGGTTGGTCTTTGCTGCTACAAGCGCCATCGACGTGTGGAGCCTCTTCCCTTCCTTCCTTCCCTTTTCCATCCCCCAACCGTTTCAGCCGTCGATCCTTGGCTGACGTTGGTTTGGTAGAGTCTTAAGGAAGCTCCTGACAGGCTAGTAGCTTCCTAGAACAATGGCCCGACAACAATGGGCGCCCCCATGTTTCTCTTTTTCCCCTCCGAGCCGAGCCAAGCCAAGCAGGCACTACTTACTTCCTCGGTCCATAGCATCCTTGTCAGCACGGCTTTGTTTCTCTGGTAGGTGCTGATCGACGGCCTACGTCGCGCGCCCCGTCAGCGTCACTGGAAAAGAGTACTCCGAAGGGGGGAAGGCATTATTAAAAGCTTCGGAAATAAGTACATACACCCATGTTCTGTATCCGTGCCCGTCAGCTCGCAGCTGCCCAGCACGTCATTTAGACCCAAAGCGAACATATAGGCTATGCTGGTATAAAAAAGCAAATTGCATCATTTGCCAAGGTATCAAGAATATGACAAAAATAAAACCTCTTCGCAGCCTTTTGACGAAGGAGGGGCGCAACTTAACCAAAGGAAACATCATAGTCCGCAAAGATCACAAAAGGCGTTATGCCGTAGATGAAGAAAAATAAAGGAATAGCAGCGGATGAGGCGTCTGACCAAATTAAGGACTCGTAAATGACAGTCATGATAGGGCATCACTCAAAGCACAAACGCATTGTAACTCCTAGTCTGAAACACTCGCTGTCGAATCATGCAAAGGCACTCGTCGGCTCATTAGCCAACCCCCAGGAAGCCCCAGTCCGTCCCCTCGGGCTGGTTCAGGATGCGGGCCGGCGGCTTGTAGTCACTGTGAGTGCTGGTCACCATCAGCGGTGGGCCTTCCGCTGTGGGTAGGGTATGGTATGGTTGCTGGAACTCCGGTGGCAGATAGCCCTGACGGCCAGGATCGTATCGTTGCTGCTGCTGCTGCTGCTGCTGTTGTTGCTGCACAAGCTGCATGTAGTGTTGCTGAGCACGCTGTACGTCAACCGGCGACGTGACAGGGATGTGCTGAGTCACGATTGGTGGCTGTTCTTGTATGGGCACCGGCGTTATGTGTAGGCTCTGGTGGGGATAAAACTCATGAGTTGGCGTCGGGGTATGAGGGTAGTAGGGTTGCTGGGCTAAGAGATACTGTTCATTCGGCACAGGAACGGCGACCGGCCCTTGATACGAGTGCTCGGAAACCGCATCTTCCGAGGGCAGTCGGGTCATGGATCCTGGGGGGTGGGAGCGGTGTTGGTGCTTGGTCAAGGTCGTTTTGCGGCAGAAGCTTCACGTTGTTAGAAAGACATTAGCACGAGAACCAGGCCAATGCTTACGCTCGTTCGCACGTTGGCTCTTGGCAGATATACGGCCGTTTTCCAGTATGGATCCTTCGGTGACGAGCGAGACTCGATGACTGTGGTGGTTAGCAGATAAGAAAAGTAATGAGCTAGTTGTACATACGTCACTAAAGGCCTTGTGGCATCCTCTGTGGTCACAGACGTGAGGCTTCTCTCCGGTATGCGTTCGCGAATGCACTGTCAATGCACTCCGTTGGATGAAGCTTTTGTTGCAGTCCTTGACCGTGCAATGATACGGTCGCTCATTGGTGTGTATCCGATAGTGCCTGCACAGATCTGATTTGCGATTGAAGGACTACTGCCATTAGCACGGAAACTATAACGCCTTCAAGCAAGCGAAAGAGTGGAAAGTGAAAAGCGACACTGGGTAGATCCATACCTTATTACAATGCTCCCAGGTGCAGTTAAAATCTCGTCCACCACCAGGTGCCATGGTGAGGAAATGCAAGTGCAGAATCGAAAGCTATTGAAAGGTGAGTCGCAAGAAGGATAGCGGGGAGTGGGCCGGCTAGGCGATAGGAACACAGGGAGCAAACAACGGATTCCAGGAAGATAAGAAGAGATGCAAATAAATGAAAACAAATCAAAAAAGAAAGCAGAAAGTAAGTGACAGCAAGAACAAATAGATTTGCAATAAAGTATGAGCAGACAAACACGACAAGAAATCGTACAGGCGACAGAGGGGGGAGGGAGAAAACGGTTGGAAGTATGGCCCGTAAGTAGTAAGGATAGCTATGGTGGAGGGAAAATAGGAGAGCGGGTGGGAGGGGAAAAGAAAGAAGAGGGAAGGAGGTCTGGACAAGCGGAGGGAACAGGAATGTCACTGCAAATTAAGTCCGACGGCATGCAGCCTCGACAGTAATCATTGGAGGTCTGGACAGGCAGGTCGATTGGCAGCCAAGTCGCAGGACCGAATGATGGATCAAATGGGGAAGCGCAGTAGTGAAGGTGGATGGATGGAGGTGAGGCTGGCCCTGGAGGTCCAGCATAGCCGACAGGGAGGTATTCCAGACGTACCTAGCAATGGATCTAAGAATAATACTGAAAATAATAATCAAAGACGAACACGCAGTGCGAAATAAAAAACCAACAAGTGACGCGATGACGGAGAGGCGAGAGAGGGAGAGATGTAGAAGAGAAAGTGCAAAGCACAATCCCAACGGATTTCTCAGATGTAGTTCAGTAGTAATAATACTGGTCGGTCCGGGCGAGGTTGCAACGTTTCTGTGATACAAAAGGCAGACAGACACAGACAGCTGCTGCTGCGGGTCTCAGGCGGTTCTCCTTCCAGGTACGCAAGCCAGACCCCAAGTCAAGGGATGATGATGGCTGTTGGAGAAGGAGAAAATAAAACAAAAAATTAAAAAAAACAGGTCGAAGATGGGGGAGAGAAAAAGACGAGAAAGTCAAGAACACCTGCTCCAGATGGGGCAGATGGAAAAGAAATACTCGACGAGCCAGATGAGGAGGATTAGTTTACTGCACGAAGAGAGGAAAGAAAAAAAAGAGCTAGCTGACTGGCCGATGGGATGGAAGCTCTTGTTCGTTTTTATTTTCCTCGTTTTGCCTCTCCGGCTCTCGTGAGCAGGCCGTGTAATTTTTCTAACGCCGCATCGTTCTGGCTCTACCTAGTAGGTACCTAGCAGCTACTACGGGCTGCTAAGCTCCTTCACTACTGTCCAGCGGTAATCAAATAATGAATTGGAACCTCCTCTTGGTCTCCTCCAGCCGGTGGAGCTCCCCTCTGGCCAGTAACCCGGCCGGGCTAGCTTGAGACTTGGCCACTTTTTCTTTTCCTGTACCCCTACCCCTACCCCGGAAAGATCGGGTTATACTATGTTGAAGTATTTCCTTCGGACCACTTGTGGGATTTTCTTTCACCAGACCGAAATGGACACAAATGAAAATCAGAATAATACTAAAAAACAAAAAGAAAAGAAGAAAAGAAATATCCCACACCCTATGCAAAAGTGGAGGTGAAAGACGAAGAAGAAAAAGAAGAAGAAGAAATCAAAAGTCAACGCTTTTATTTTTATTTTTATTTTTATTTTCTTTTTGTTAAGTATCTCTTACCCCATCGTTTCTGAACATGGGTTTACCATGTTTACCTACTACAATCTACCCTGGAGGTCAGGAGGGAAACACTTGGTATCAAACGAAGTATCCAAGTACTAAGTACATACATACATACATACGGGCACCAAGCAGTGGCACTTAAATTAGGAATCTCTTTTAGACTGACTGACAGGCCAAGGCTATCTGGGTCCCGCTTGTCGATTCAATGTTCGGGAGGTAAAGAGAAGGGGGGGGGGGGAGAAAGAGTGGAAGTTTGGAGCTAGCAACCCCCAGACAAAGTTACCCAAGACCCAAGGTTTCCCATCCTACTGAACCGTCTTCCGGTCAAGATGGCTTGGGGGAAGAGGGGAACACCGATCCCCACCCTGTCCGCTTGTGCCTTAGAACGCTGAAAGGTTAGGATATAGACTCGGCCAATCATCGGCGACCAAGAGAGAACCTGGCCTTGGAAGAAATCTACTAGTCTAAACATGGTCTAGTTGCCTGCATCCTGGCTGCAAAACCTCGACGGACCGCTAGTATCGCTTACTGTATCAGGATTGTATCGACTATCTTTCGCGGGTCAAAATTACTGACAGGTACCTTGACACGTACGTCCCTGGTACCTTCCTCTTAGGTACTTCCACTAACTAGGTAAGGGTAACCAGTGGTGGTAAGTAGGTGCCCGTCCATGTTTTCATATTATTTTTTATTCTATTTAACTCACCCCAAGTCGATGGTGCTGGAAGAGGAGACGGTAGTCCGCCATATAACATTCTGGATAGAACCACGACCGAAGGCAATTGCACGGCGCTCCAAAGGAGTCAGAGCTGAGGCGGATCACAGCATGGTCACGCCAATACAACAAGCAGTGTCTACGTATGGGATATTCTGTACGACAGTGAAAAGGGAGGTAGGAGTAGGTATGTGTAAGATGGAAGGTCTGATTAGGACGTGGGCTAACCGATGGAACTAACTTACTACTTCGTACCTACCCAAAATGATCAAAATCTATTCCTACTCTCGTACTGTCTTCAATTATGACTATTACTATGTACATTGTTGTTACTTATTTGTGTTTTTGTTTTTCTATATTATTCATTTATTTCTTATTTTCATTGATTTATTTATTTTTCTCGCCAAGGTGCTGGGAAAGGATATCCCGTCAATCCTTGTACCAAGGTGGTAGGAGCCATGCCCTCCAAGCAATTGTTGCTGGAATTAAGTTCCTGACGGCCCCTTCTTTACCCCCCAAAAATGATCATGATGTCGGCCGTCCAGGGAAAAAAGCATCAACGGAGGGAAGAGACGGAAAGGGAATAAAAGAAAAAGAGAAGAAAAAAGTATTGAAAGCCAAATGGGACAAAGAACAATGTCAGACCAGCCGGCCGACCAGGCAGCACAGATCGGAAATTATCAGCAAGGGATACCAGCGATGCAACAACCGAAAAGTGTGGCTTTTCCCTTCTGGGCCGGCAGGTATCATGCTGAAACTGGCCCAGAGCAGCAGCTATCCCCAGGGTCTGCTATCGGCATCACTCCAAACCACAATCGTCCTACTCACCTTACCTACTTAGGCAGTAGGTCTCCTACTGGCAGTGGCCATGATACCTTCATCCGTTGCTATTGGACGTACTTCTGGGCTATCTTTCTTGGGAGAAACAACGAGGACAACGCCCCCAACGCCACGATATTCTCGGTGGCTCTGCGATGCGCCTATTCTACCGATTCGATTGCTGGATGACAGCCAGCCGTAAACTCAAAGGGAGCGATTCCTCAAGCCTCTATCAGCTGTTTTGAGTGATATTGACGCCTTTGTTCACTCCACGTGGCGGCTTCAAGAAATTCATCTGAATCGCGGTCTGTAATGCTCCATCAGTGATGGGTCCCCGACAAGGGACCAGCGGGATTCACTCGTCGTCCCGTTCCCCCTCCTTCCGCCCGTCCATGGCAAAATTAATTATTAATATGATACGATGGCAGTCATGGCCATCGGAGCCAATTAAGCTCATGACGATCAGTTGATTTCTCTAAGGCTGGAGCCAAGAGACTGGCGCCAATGCTGTCTGTTCGTCATTGATAGCGAACTATAGGGGCTGCCTACTTTCCTATTGATTTGGCCGACTGAACAAGCTCGGGATGCACTTCCTCGATAGAATCAGCGGGTGATACATGGATAGATCTTCCATTTACTTTAACCAGGCTCACGGACTGCCGTGAGGCTTCGAACTGTAAGTCGACTAGCACCAGTGGATCTCGAATAGTGGCAGCGGGTCGAACCCATGGAACAGGCAGGCCAAAACAATCGCCGCCCGCTTGTTACCAGCAGAGGCCGTTTAATACGCTTACTTAGACTTTGGCCATTCATGGTTTGGACCCTGGAAGCCCGAGACCCATCGCACTTGAAGAAGCGGCTAGATACGTACGACATACACGCGAAGATAGCGATTAACAATCGATAGTGTCTATAGCACGCACTCGATAGATCATCGTCTGCACACGATAGAGTTTCGTCTGAAAGTCCTTCCAGCAAATCGCGGGCTTTGGTCTGCCCGTCGACTATTCAATTCCCGTCTGTCATCTGGGAGGGGTTTTTCGGGGTTTGCACGACCGGGATCTCCGAAATGATATGGAGCTCATACCACACTAGGCTATTGAGCCACCACTCTGAGTCAGGCACAATCATTTAGTTAGAAGACTACGGACACCGCCTATGGCCAGCCCAGCGGATGCCAAGGGGGCCGTTTCGATCGGGAATTGGTTACCAAGAAATGTACGAGGGGGCAGTATTCGACTGGTAGGGTGTGCTTCCGTCGATGCTCGTATTGCTTTTTCCTTTAGGTTTCCTCGTCCGGGCGGCACTTCTTGGTTCCAGTTGACTCCCGTAGTGGCGCCATAGGCTTATACTCACTAATATCCGCACCAGTCCATGAGCTAACCCAGCAGGATTATGACTAACCTACTTAGACGCGAGTCATCTGAGACTGAGGCAATCCACCAGCAATGACTTGGTCGTCAGCACACAGGGGGGGCAGGGCAGATAGGCGTACGTGTAAGCAATCGTGTGTAGTTCCCCGCCCCAACAGGAATTCATGCTAACCGATCCGATGCTGGCGAGGTGAGCCCAAGCCGAGCCATGAAGGGGGGTTGCTCATCCCGTTATCATCCGCCTTTTTCTGGTCTGATCTGATATGACACTAACTATGAGGCAGACAGCGCGCCAACTAGCGACGGGGTATTTTTTGCGAGTACCCTGCTCGCTATCACGAGGCCGAGGAATTGAATAGATTACAAATGGGCTGGTAATCTACTTGGCCCCTACATGTACCGGGTACATCCACGCAATGCAACGGACAGGGAGGCCTGACTTTGTGACGGTATCGCCGAATGAGCCGTCGAGAAGATGAGCTAGTGGCGGCACCCCCCATATACCCGGGATACAGGAAGTAGGGTTATCTACATTATAGTCTGGTGCCACCACAGATACATGACAGCTCCTCCAGGTCGACCGGCACCAAGAACCTTACTGGACAGACCCGTCAATGAAAGCCCAAAGCTGACAGCTGGTCGCATCACTGGCAATGCGGGAGTGACGCCAGGGCTTGCACCATGCTGTAAGTCGCCGATCCTTAAGACCCAAAGGCTGTAGACGGGCTAATGGCGTGACTTGCATGTGGTCAAATGGGCGAAAAGATTGAGATGTCTACTCTAGCACCCGGCCGGGGGAAAATTGGCCAACGGCGAGGGGAAGAGGGAGGGGGAGAATGGAATTGGGGGAGGAATGGACGAAACAACAAATCAGCAAGGGACGGGCAATGGATTGACAAGACGAGGGGTAAAAGTGATAAAGAAAGAAAGCAAAAGCGAGGCCGGAAAAGGCAATTTTCCCATAAAGTGATTGCAAGACCTTGATTTGCCATGAGAGATGGACACTGCTTCTCCGCTTTTTGGGAAGATCTCCCCGATCAACTGGCGTGGCAGCTAACGAAAGGGAGAGGAGGGGAAAAACATCCGGCCTCGAGAGTGTGGAGGAGAAAGAGGGAAGGCATTCGTGCCATACGGACTGGCATGCAGTCGAATCCGTCAACCAGATCGGGGAACGAGGAAGAGGAGGAGGAGGAGGATGATGATGATGACGATGACGTCGACCAGCTTACAGTCTCCTCCATCAACCTGAGACAACAGCATCCGTTAGCATTGGGGAAAGGAATCCCAGGCACCTGGTCGGTGGTTCATCCGCCGCGGTAAACCCGTAGTCGCAGACCGGCGGCATCATGTGTCTGAGCGGCTTCTCCTCGCTGGGAACTGAAGTTGAACCCTTGTCCCCGGTCGCAATTGACGTAACGGCAGTAGAGCAGACACATGGTTAACCGAGCTCGACCGAAATCAAGTGGTGGGTTGCTTGTTCCCACCAGGGGTTGGGATATGTGATTCGTGATTCGTGATGCGTAAGCTGGATGAGGGAAGGGGACGAAACAAAAGATGGGAGGGAGGAGATGAATGAGGTGGGGGTGAAAGTTGTGGGCAGTGCGTTCAGGATTTCATGCATGGCCACGCTACAACTAGTTTAACTTACTTACTAACTAACCAACTAATCAACCAGACTAAGACAAAGATTGGCTGGGGGGAAAGAAGGGTTGGTTAGTTAGTAGTATGAAGCGAGAGGAGAAAGCAACTCCGACGTGATACACCAGGATGGTTTACAAGTCTGGTGAAGTTGATTGAATGATAGTTATATCCCGAATAAGGCTGGGCTGTCAGACAGAGGGACCAAAAAAGAAAGAAGTAGTAGTTAGTACCTAGTAATTAGTAACAACACATTTCCTGGTAACCTCTAGTAATGAACATCCCGGTCTAGTGTTGATGCTGGCAAAGAGGGAAACCGGACGGGTGTCAGATGGTCGGGAGGAGATTGAAGGGGAAATGAAATCCTCCAGCCTTGACTCGCTCTCCTCCATCGGGAGCTGCTGCTGGTTGCCTCGTCCTTTTCCTTTTCTACATACCCCGCATTGGGGGAAGATTGTCGCTCGGGAGCATCTTTAGCAAGTCTTTAGCACCGTCTGTCACACGCAGTTTCATTCCTGCCTTCATCATCATCCCTACTATTTACCATCAACCTCGTTTTTATTTTCATTGTGGATGATCCGGAGTAGTGTCATCCCGGCTCGTGGTCTACGTACTAGTATATTAGTCTACGGAGAGAGTACTAGTGACCGACACTTGCTGGGAATCGCACACTGCATTAGAAAGAGCAGTGGTATGTAACCTTCATCTACTACACTACTATAATATATACTACTGTTCTAACTAGTATATTTAGCAAGGCAGGACTACTCTCGACTTAGCTCCCTCACTAATTCTGTCTAATATCCCTTCTCCTCCACTCATTGCTCATTGCTGCCCATCCGCCTCAGGCCAAGGAAATCAATCGCCCATCCTCCGTCCGTCAGTGTCTCAGTAAACTCTTATGAAATTGTCGACTTCGGACTTCTCTAGCCCTAACTCCGTCACCGCTGCCTGGTTATCATCTGGGAGAAGGGGAGGGGCGACATGGATGACGCGCAGTAGCAGTAGCCGTGAACAGTTGGGCGCTAATCTCCGCCGGGTGGATGTCGGAAAGAAATTCCAGCTCATCACATCCAGAATTTCGCTGGTGGACTGGCGGAGCTTCGATTTGTCCAACCCTTTTTCTTGTGTTGCGCCGGTGTTTTAGCGGGCCCATCCGTATACTCCGCTTCCCCATATGAGCGACCGACTAGATTGGACTAATCCATTGCTCGCTAACGACTCTCTATTTGCTCAAAGCATGATGCGCAACGGAGCTATACGCGATGTCGCACCAGGGCATTGCATCCGGCCGCTAGACTACTCTCAACTTAACTACCCACAACTAGACTAACTAACTAGGTCGATAGATTACTTAGCCACTAGCCTACTCACCACTAACCTGTTCTTCCCTGACGATGCTAGACATACATGCGTTCGGCATCTCGGACGATAGGCATCCAACTGCCCAGAAAAATCTCCGATGTGCATACATAACTCCCAATCCCAAGAAAGCAGCGCGCCTGGTCAACGCAAGCTCTGGCCACGCATGCTTTCTGCCAGTGGCCTGCCTGCTCAAACGGCTGCTCTCGGCTCGGCTTCATGGAGGGGGAATTAATTTCAATCGCGACATTTTCCAAGCGAATCGCAACCGTAGCTGCCATAGGCGCAGATGATGATTGCACGACCATGTTAGCCTTACGAGATAGCCAAGAACCGGGCAGCGACTCGATCAGCCGGCTTTCAAATAACGATGCTGGTTTACTCATGGCTCACCCTCCTTTAATTCTGTTGTCTTTTCACCCACACACCCTCCTTCCTTCCCGCGGGCCACCGCTACTATACGGAAGCATCACTAGTCTACTAACATCCATCCATCCATCCATCCATCCACCCCGGCCCCTCGTAAGCCTGAAATAACCCAATAAGTCGGTGAGTGCTCGTCACTGGGCCACTTCATTCCCCTCCATCCTAGAGGTGCTTTTTTAAATTTTCTGGCCAAGAATAGTTCTGCTTCCCCTCCAAGTTATCCCGTTAGCAGCGCGCCGGGTAAGCGTGGATTTTCCTGGGCGCGTCTTTCTAACCCACCCCCCTTGCAGGTCCCCGGCTTCGATACGGTCTGGATTCTGGAATAGGCTATTGCAGAGGCCGCTGTGGATGGATGGAATCGACAGCCTGATGAGAGAGAAAATAAATAAGATGTCCCAGATTCTGATCAATCGGCGTTGCTACTGCATTGGTTCGCTTGCAGAGATCGCGCGTCTCCTATCAACATCAGCCCTGAATAACAGTCGTTCTTTTGCTAATTCCGGCATTGCCTCCCTTTTCCACTTTGCCTATGCATTCGCGACTTTGATTGGTCATAAACGGCTGGTAGATGCTACCGAGCTCAGTTGACGATCTGATTGAACCTTTTCCCACCCCCAAACTTTAATGACAGGGTGCAGCTGTTCGGGCGTGGCTGTGTCTCATCCTGGTCAAAACAACCCCATAATCCACACCATGACAGGCTGGGCAAACCCCATGTGAGCTCGTCTACAGAGGTCTGGGTTCGATAGGTCCGCTGCTTGTTCTTGTTTGCTAAGCAAATCAAAACAATAACGAAGGGGTGGGGGGAGGCGTGTGGTGCTGACGGGCTGACCCCGATTTGGTGAAAATGGTCGGGTTATTCCTTCGCGTCTTGACGCCTCGCCTGTCAGATTCGAAACTAGTTTAGCTGGTGGCGCTGTCACTGTCTCTCCAGACTCGCAGACTCGCAAACCCGCGCTGGTTGCCCATTTCGAGTGTTCTGGATGGACGCCCCCGCGTCTGAATTAGTAGCTGTTTATATCAGACTGTCCATATAGCTCAAGCTCATAGCCCCAGACCGACTATAGTAGTGGTTATCTAGTCATCTCATCGCTCGTCGCTAGCTAGCTAGCTAGCTTGCTTGCTTACTGCTTACCAATGCTCGATATCAACACTGTAACTAGTAAATCTGACCACGCTTCACCTACATCAATAGAAAAAAAGTATACTCGAGCCTCATCATCACCACCACCACCACAGCAAACATCATCTGTATCTACAATGAACAACCTCCCTTCTACACATTCTCTCCCCATTCCATGCATCAACCTCATCTGCACAAACCACATCCCGAAAAAGAAGCCTTACCTACCTACCCTACCAAATCCCGAACACACATACACACACACATACATGCATACCACCTTCTCCTGTTCGCCATGTATGTACTCTCTAACTTAAAAACTCTGACAGGCACCTGGGAGGCGTCTAGCCCCTTCAGCCAGCCAGCCATTTATGCCTCAACTTAACTCATTATGTAAATTTAAAATGTTGATGCATCTCTGCCTACTTCCAAGTTCGCTCCTAATATAGATAGATCTAGACGTGTGTTAGTGTCAGGCAGCGACGAGGCAAATCTAATAGGTTTTTCAGCTAGCCATATATGTATATGTATATGTATGGATGTGGATGTGGTCGTCGTAAGTAGGTAGGTATGGTATGTGTGGGATAGATACTATGTGTGGGTGCGTAGTAGTTGGGTTGATGCCGTTTTTTTTTTTTTTTTGCCACTGATGGTGGATGAGTTGGTACTTTGGTTTTACAAATAGATACTTACTACTCTTACTATATGATTAATTTTGGGTATCCAGTCGCTACATTCAATAATTAGTGATATGTATGTATGTATGGTGCAGTATGCATAGTGGCAAGATCATGATCAGGCTGTATGAGTAAGACCAGCAGCACATCACATCTACGTTACTAACTGTTTTGTTATCTGAACCATAAACCACTCACTTGTTAACACTAATTATAGTTTAAGTTTCTCGACCATCCTATTCTGTAGTATGGTTATGTGGCGATGATGGATGGATGGATGGATGGATGGATGGGTGTAAAAGAGCCGCATGATGATGCTGATGATAACTTATCGCCTACCATGTATGTGTGCGTGTATGTGCATGCAAGAATAAACTTCAACCTCATAGGACGATGATATATCAGATGAAGGCGAGGGTATACGAGGTGACAGGGGGCTTGGTTGGTGGGATCGTCTGAGGTCGATTGGATTTAGGTTTGGGAGGAATAGATGGTAAGTTGGAGGGTGTGTGTGTGAGTGGTGAGGTTTGTAGGAGTGTAAGCTGTGTGTTCTATGTGATAGGATTATCTGGTGGGTTTTGGTCATGAGGGTGGGTGAGTGGATCTGTAGAAGTAGATATAGAAGTATATACTACTAGTATAGTAGGTGACGGGTTGGAGGTAGATTGGTTGGGGAGGTTGTGGTATTTAGTTGTTCTTACAGAAGTTTTCTTTCATATGTATTTTGCAATCGACGCTGATATGTTATGTGTAATGTGTACTGTTAACGATGATATAAGCATTCCATTGTATACTAGATTGGGTTATGTCGTGAAGCTATTCAGACCATACATATGCTATATAGTGACCACTATGAGACGGGGATTAGCATTGACACAGATCGCCCACCATTAACCTTCCTAACTATACTCCCATATATCATCTTCACTATCATGATCTCTCCTCTACACTTTAAGTAAAATGAATATGATGCTCCCCACAATGTACCTGAATACTTTCCTATCACATGACCAATTCCATATCAGCCCCTTATGTAATCACCCCTTATCGGAGATTTATACAATCCCCAATTAATCCTCAACCATTCAGCACCAGCTTCACCTCCAACCCGGCTCAATTCCCTGCAACCCACCAGAATCAGGCCCATAACAATGGCCGAATCACCACAGCATGACCTAGACAACCAATTTTACGTCCTAGTGACCGGCGCAAACAGGTACCCAGCCCTCAATTGCGCCCTCCCAACCCTACAACCCACCTGACCACCAGCACACCCCTTCAATCCCCCCCAAACAACCTCACAAACAATCTAACAAGCCAATTCCACCAGCGGCCTCGGCCTCGCCATCTGCGCACGTCTAATAAACACCTTCCTCACAACCCACCCACCCACCACCCACCTAACCATAATCTTCACCACCCGAAGCGCCAAAAAAGCCTCCTCAACCCTTCACCACCTCCAACTCCTCCTTCCCCCCATCTCCTCCCCCACCTCATCCAGCAGAATAACCCTCCACCCTGAAACCGTGGACCTGTCCTCTCTCCCCTCCGTCCGCGCGCTCTCCACCCGCCTCACCCAAACCCTCCCAAAACTCGACTCCATCGTCCTCAACGCCGGCATCGGCGGATGGACAGGAATCGACTGGCCTCGCGCGATCTGGGGGACTCTGACCGACCTCGTGCACAGCGTCTCATGGTTCGCGCACAAGATCGCGCCCGTGGGGATGATCACCCCGCCTCAAACCACGTTACCGGATGAGCCGCGACTAGGTAGCGTCTTCACGGCGAATGTATTCGGACACTACATGCTCTCGCATGGCGTTATGGGCTTGCTCCGGAAATCCACCCAGCCGGGCCGAGTCATCTGGGTCTCGAGTATCGAGGCCACCGTGAATCATTTTAACGTGGAGGATATTCAGGGGTTGAGGTCGACTGTGCCGTATGAGAGTTCGAAGACGCTTACGGATATTCTTGCCCTCACGGCGGAGTCGGAGGGGAGTAGGAAGTGGGTGGAAGGGTTTTATACCCCCCTTGATAAAGGGGTGGATGAGAAGGGTGGTGGTGAAAGGGAGGGCAAGGAGCCACGCATGTACCTCTCGCACCCCGGCGTGTGTGGAACGGGGATTCTTCCGTTGGCGTTGCCGCTGTTTTGGTGCATGATCGCGTCGTTTTATATTGCCCGGTTGCTGGGGTCGCCGTGGCATACGCTGTCGACGTATGCGGGGGCGTGTGCGCCGACGTGGTTGGCTATTAGTCGGCAGGAGGAGCTGGATGCTGCGGAGGAGGTGTATCGGGCTCATGGGGGCGGGAAGGTGAAATGGGGGTCGTCGTGTGATCGATTGGGGAGGGATAAGGCGGTTTCGACGGAGGTGGATGGCTGGGGTCATGGGGGTGTGGTTGGCGAGGCGGTGGTGATGGAGGATCGGTTGCGGAGGAGGAAGCGTGGAGCGAGGGATTTGACGGCGGAGGAGAAGGTCGAGTTTGAGGAGTTGGGAAGGAAGTGTTGGCAGGAGATGGAGGAGTTGAGGGTGCAGTGGGAGGAGATTTTGGAGAGGGAGGAGGGTGCTGCTGCTGCTTAGTTTTGTATGGGATAATCTGCTGCATGGGTTCGGGCATATCACATATTGCATCTGCATCTGTATACTGCATCTATAATAGAGGAATAGAGTAATAGAGATAATGAGATTGTTTTTCTGATCCTGCCTCCCGTATTTACATTCCTTTAACCATGTCCACATACGTCATTATAATCAGATAGAGTATTAGTCCATGTGCTCACCATCCCCCGGGGAAACAAGGTAGCAGAAAGAGAAAGCCGGTAAATAAAGAAGCAACAGCACTGGTGACACACAGTCCGTCGGAGAAAGATGCGGGAGAACAAGGTAAGAGATCAGAGACCTCGGGATTGATTATAAGGGATGTAAGGATGACCCGAATCAGACACGCTTCTACCATCAAGGCCTCTAGCATGCGGACACGGACGAGCACAAGACGAAGGTAAGAATGGACGGGTGCGAGTGGGAGATGGTTCAGAGGCGTAGACCGCACTGTATCCAAGCAGCGTCCTGTTGTCTAG